GGTGAACTTCATAATACTTATCACCTTTTTTTCTGATGAAGCCTGGTTTCATTTAAGTGGTTACGTAAACTCACAGAATATGAGAATGTGGTCTTCTGAAAAACCAGATAATTTTTTTGTCGAGGGCCCTCTACACGCTCAAAAAATTGGAGTTTGGTGTACTCTCAATCGAAGGAGGATTTATGGACCTATTTTTTTTAATGATACTCTTACTGCGCAAAGGTATAGAGAAGAAATTATCGCTCCTTTTGTTAACCAGCTGGAAGAAAACGAAATTACAAACTTTTACTTTCAACAAGATGGCGCAAGGGCACATACGGCAGGCGAGACGATGAATATGTTGAGGGAAGTTTTCCAAAATCGATTAATAAGTCTCAATGCTGAACATGAATTTCCACCGAGGTCATGTGATATTACGCCGTGTGATTTCTTTTTGTGGCCTTACCTTAAAAACATTATTTTTGAACTGCCTATTCCTGATTTCAACCATCTGCAGGCTCGACTTATAGACAAGATTCGTGAAATTAACAATACCCCGAGCATCTTAGAAAATGTCTTTAATTCTTTGGGGAACAGGTGTGAAAAGTGCTTGGAACAAGGAGGGGGACACTTTCAGCAGCTGCTTTAATTTATTGTTATAACAAGGAGGGGGACACTTTCCGCAGCTCCTTTAATTGTTTGTTATTGTTATCACGATTATTCTTTAAAATAAAGTTATATAGTCATTAACGTTATTGAAACTGACAGCTGCCTCGTTGAGAAATGAGGTTAAGTTGGTCGCTATAAGCTACTCCCTACGTCCAATGTGTCAGAGCCAACTTCGACCACGTTTTTATTTGAACGCTCGTTATTAATTACCGATAACTTTTCGCTCTTCCAATACGTGTTCCAGCAAAACTTCGGCAGCAGCATAGATAACTGTTCTTTTTGACTTCGTTTAATTGTCAATCTCCAAGTCCATTTCGATTGCTTTGTAACAATCCTTAAGAATTCTGGATTGTTCAGATACGTGGGTTAAATAATTAACAGGAATTGACTTCCTTCCGGCATTTGACCTTATAAAGTTAGTCAATGTTTTCATCTGAATTCTCGAGGACCTCGTAGAATTTTGATAATTGTCCAAGCTTTCAGGCGAGAGTAAGACAGTTTTCTCAGAATTCCTGTAACTTATTTTCTTACTCTTACCCCCCGTTTTCAAGGTCAACGATAAGTTTCGTGTACCTGCACCCTCCAACGTCACTTTATTTCCCAAAACTTCACTTACAATCTGGGACTTTTGTTTGTCAGGTAAATTGAACACTATCTTGGAAACATTTCTCCGTAATGGACTTTGTCGATTTCCAGAAATGCACGGATGGTTCTTCTAACCGCGCCCTATTTCCACAAGACATTCTTTGCATAAAATCATAACATTTGCATTTTTTTCACGGTTTGTAGTGTCCCGAACGATCTTCTTCTCATTGGAAACTGCCCCGTACATGCCGTTAGTTGGTCCGATTTTTATATTAACATTTTCGCGAAAACGTCCTCGACCTTTTGGAAACCCAGGATGGCCCAAATATCTGGCAGTGAGGCATATATAACATTGACAACATTTTGCGGTCATATCATTCAGCCTTGTATTCTTCACCAATTTTATATCTTCATAATTGGGCGTAACGGGTAATGATCGTTTTATGATTCCTCTATCATATTCACCTAAAGTGAGTCGGCGGTGTTACATATGCTGAGAGGATACTTTTCGCACGACACCCAAAATGTATTGTTTATATATTTAATTATTAAGTGCTTGACCTGATCACTTATGAGAAACTTCTCTGGTTTAGTTTTACCGAAAACTATTTTATTACCACAAGGCGCACACACTTTTTTCCGATTTTCTTCATGACTTGATGCCTTTGGCATCTTGATGAAGTTTCGACCACACTGATTAACTTGACTAACACGGACTGGATTCAAATCCCCAGAGAATTTCATGTAATAGTCATGACTTGTCATCGGCGAAAAATCGGCATGAGCGCGCGCTTTTGTTATTATTTTCATTGTTCTTCTATGATTTTCTGTAAACATCTATCACAAAACAACTGTCGGGAGTGACGTGACTTCTTGATAGATTTACGATTTACTTATTATCCCTCCAGAAAAGCCCTGGCAATGATTTTGGAATAATACAGCGGTCAAGAAAAAAAATTGCGAGGGTCGATAATGAAAAATCTCGTTTTCTCGATAAAACGAGCAGATCCGATTTACATAAAAACGGATCCTGTTTAGGTTTGTGATCAGGAATTCAACCCCGTTGCCAGTTTTTGGTGCAATTTTTATCAGACTAGAACCGTTCAAGCCAGGTGTGTATATAGAAGTCCAAGTATATATTTCAGTAGAATCGGTGGGGCGACAGTCGCTTGTAGTTCGGTCGTATTTTGTCAAGATAGATATTTGTACACTTTGCAATCAATATATTGAACCATATCTATTGAAAAGAATAATTCCCAGCATTATCTTATTAATATCACATTTTTTTGCGATAGCTTTTACACCCAGTAAATGAATCATAACATTTTCTTTTACTTTGTGGACATTAGGTCGAGGAGGATGAGCCTTCTAACGAGTTGCATTGCCTTTCCAAAAAGAGGCTTATTTTAAACAATGAGAGGCAGATTATTATCTTAGTGTTATTAATTATTTACTACACTTTCTTACAAAATGCTTATTGAAAGACTTTCTTACCCTGCAAGACATTGTCACTGTCATAAATATTTGTTAAGCCGTCTATTTGTGTTCTGGTTATGCTCTTATTAGCTTCATCAATATCGGTTAAGTTTTTTACTACAGGACATACCCCACCACCTCTTTTTTGAATATTATTTCTCAATTCAGAAAACTTCCTATTGGCCCTTCTCTTCAGATTTAAATATTTCTCTTTTAAATTGGTAGCTCTGCTGTAAAGCATATCAAATTCTTTGTTGAATTCATTTTCGATCTCCTTCCAACATAATTCTTCATCTTTCCAACTTGTAACCCCACTTTTTTGCATTCAATTATACTTTGATATTTTTATACTAATGCAGTCAACAGTTGCTCCTCCTGCTTTGTAAAGTTTGAGGAACGTTTACCACGTGCATCTGATTTTCCCATTTTAGATCTAATTCATAAAACAAATACAAGATGTCGCATATAAATAATTGCGGTTTAAAAAAATGTGAATAAAAAACTATTAGGTTTGCTTCCTGGACTCCTCCAAGCGAGCGGACGAGTGTTCGCAACGCGTTTTTGAGTAATTGCTCCCATTTCTTGCCGGATATTTTCTTTTAACAGATCCAAGGTTGTAGGGTTGTTACCGTAAACTCCGGATTTGAGGTACCTTCATAGGAAATAATCTATTGGCGTCAAGTCTGGGCTTCGCGGAGGCCAATTGATCACCTCTTCTGGATATTAATTTATTCGGAAATAAATCTCGAACGACTGGCAAAAATGTGTTTGAGGTGTGTGATGTCGCTCCGTCTTGTTGAAACTAGGTTCTCTGGTTATAGTCAGCGAAATTTTGTAAAGCAGGTTTGAAGAAGTTCTGGATCATTTCGCTCCGCATGAACACAAAAAAATACTGGTCGATGATACCCCGCTCCGATAGTGCAGCCCTTACCGTTACTTTAGGGGAATGCAACGGCGTCTCGTGCTTTTGTTTCTGATTGGCAGGATTCTAGTAATGACAATTTTGTTTGTTGATATAGCCGTTTAGATGGGAATGTGCCTTATCCGAAAACAAAATGTTGTTAAAGGATGTAAAGCGTTCGAACATTTCATTCACAAAGTTGAGTCTCTGAATACTATCCAAGGGCTTTAATTCCTGCACTAGCTCTGCACTAGCACTGTATCTTATAAGGGTGCAAAGGCAGGTCTTTGCGAAGAATGCGGTGCAAAAAGCTTCTAGGAACATTTAACACACTAGCTCTTTTGCGAACTGAGACGTTGGGATTTTCACGAACCGATACTCGAACGTTCTCCAGTGTTTCCTCGGTTCGGGATGACCTTGGTCGCCCTGTCCGAGATTTATTTCGAATTTCATTAATCATTAATGCACTTAGAACTTCATTCAAGTCAGTATGATGTTGTCACTATGTATTGTTGAGCCATTTATAGTAAAAAAAATAAATTATTTCCTTTTAATGTGAAATGAATATTATTTTAACCCTTTGTTCCCTGAAAACTTTTTCATTAAAAAAATTGAGGTAAAAGTTAAAGAATGTTACTTTATTGTGTTTCTAAAAGGTAAAAAATTTAAAAATATATAATTTTTTAAAAAAACTTATTATGCTATGGTTTCACAATGTAACCACTAGTAAATTGTTCACTCCAAAAAATATGAACTTGAATACTACATATTACATAAAAGATTTTTTAACTTTACTTTTTATGATACAACGAAAAACAGTTTTTTTTTTTTTCAGTAAGGCACAATCCAACTTTACACGTCTCCCATTCCCACCTGGTTCTGTGAGGATCTCTACTAGTGCTACAAAAGGCACATCGTCTGGATGTCCCGTGCTTTGGCATATGCAAACATTGTTCAAACCGTTTTTCATAGGGCACAATTGGTTTGAAATGACTCATTGTAACTGTAGGTGAAGAATTCCTACTCCGCACGTTTTTTTCACCAACAACTCCGATTAAACCTGAAGCTACAGATAACCTGAAAAATTTCAGGTTTGGAACCGCGCACTGCGCTTTTTGTTGAAACAGAATAAAAGAATTGAGAACGCATAAATCTATGAAATGCCAAATAATTCGGTGCCACCATTTCTTAGATTTGCGGTCAATCTCATAAACAGATTTCAACATATCTGTTTTATCAACATAGCCCATATGTTGGTTATATTCCTTGACCATCATTGGGCAGGCTATGACTTGTGAGTTTCCGTCTTTCTGCTTTCGGGCAACAGTCGCTTCTGTTGAAGGATTCTGATGATTTCCCAAAAAGTGAACTATTTTTCGGTCCCTCCACTTTATAAATGCCAGTCCATCTTTGCTAACCCTCCAGTCAGATTGTCCTCGGGTCTGTAATTCTTTGTCAGATTGTAAGTCATTTGGGACATCTTTTCGCTTAGCCCTGACTGTGCCGCATGCATAAGTAAATTCTGCTTTAAGTGTCTTCTGTAATGGCACAGAGTTGAAAAAGTTCCCGTCAAATCTAAAATAACCCTTTGGCCCAAGTCTTTTTCAGGTTGATAATTAATTTTTCCAACATATATCTGAAACTGGCAGACGTATCCATTCTCGTCAGATCGAACCCAGACTTTATACCCTCGTTTGATGGGTTTTAGGGGCATAAATTGTTTGAGAAAACTGCGACCCTTAAAACGAATCATAGATTCGTCAATAGATTGATGTTTTGAAGGGGCGTAAGAAGAACGAAAAGTTTCAGATAAAATATCCAATAAAAAGCGAACTTTGTACAACTTGTCATAGTTTGGTGAGTCACGAGCAGGCATCACTGAATTGTCTGCTAAATGCACATTTCCCAGAAGCCAAGCAAACCTATCTCTAGACATTGCTAACCTATGTAGTGATCTCGTAGTTGTTCCCTAGACGACCGGTAATCACAATAACTGGGCAACTTTTTAATTCCCATCAAGATATTTATTCCAATGAAAATTTCGATCTCTTTGGCAGAAGTTGGAGTAAATGTAGAGTCTCCACCACGTTTTTGTAAGGCATATAGATTCGTTTCAAACACGATTTTGTCAATTAAAGTTTTGGGAAACAAGTGTAAAAAAAAATCAACTGGCCTCTGCAGACCATCTGGAACTTTAGGACCAGTTTCCTCCGTAAACTCCTTGATATTGGTAATGCAATACTCCGCTGACTTGGTCCAGATTGTCTTTTTGGCTAGTTCCCTATCTCTCAAAAGAGAAAGGGGAATATAATCTTTCTCGTCATCAGTAATATTCTCTGTATTGTAGGCTCTTGGAAGCTGGTCTTATTGGCAAATTCGATATGTCAAACAAATTGTCATCGTGCATTGTCTCATCTTCGTCACTACTCGGCTCCTCTGACTCGCCATCTGAAGGAATAGTCTCCAATAGTGTAAATAAATTATCTGCCGACATATTCTCTAGCTCTCTGTATGAATACACTTTTTTTTCCTGAAATAATAAATAGTGTCCTAGTGGTTTCAGCATGAAACCGGCACCGTATATCATGAATATAGTTACTGCAATTTAAAAATTATTGATAATAAGGTGCCTTTATCATAAATACAAATGTTATCAACATTGTAAAAACAAAAAAAAACTTACTTGCCATAGCGAAATAATGTAAAAATCACAGGATTTGCGTATAGTCTTTGGCACTAACCGACCGCTCTACAACAGGTGTTATTACCGACTAATACGTAAATGAAAATGGCGAAGCGCGGTAAAGTTTTAGGGGGGTTTCCTATACGTTATGTCTTTGTGTTGGTTTCAATCAAATACCACTGGAAACGTAGCGAAAAATTCTTGTGTCTGTGGTTTTATAGTGAAACCACTAGGGAACAAAGGGTTAAATATAAATTTGAATGGAATTGTAGTATTTATAGAATATGTAAATATACTAAGATTTAACTTACCGTACTAGCTAATTCTTGAATGTCAGATAATTTCAGTCACTTTGTCTGATTTTAATTTGAATATAGATTTCCAACTTTATTTTTTTTGTTTATTGTTTTGAAAGATTGAACTTTGAATCGGATTGAATGTTACAAATTCACTAATTTTAATGACAGCTAAGTACGAACAGCAAAGTACTGCAGTAAGTGATGTGATGTCATTATAGTGTCCTTCATTAAACATAATGCTGAATCTCTTACCACCCCCAGTGCCTTTAAAGATAACATCCCGACCTATACTACCATATTTGTACACTGTTATTACATAAATTCTTTGCGGTATTGTTGGAGCCGATTTAATTCACTGATACTAGTCTATTCTGGCGGTATTTGGACCATAGAAGTTTTTATTAACTCTGATGCTCTAATTGCTTGGCTGTATTTTTTCGTACTTTCTAATAAAGAGAATCTTTATTGACATATGCCTGAGCCACAACAATTATTTTGCACCGAAGCAGAGGATATCTTCACGCCGTTTAGCACACTCCTCGTTAAAAGTATTGTATTTACCGTTTCGATCTCTACCACTGGGTATTTACACGGATGTTACGCTGAGATAAAATGTATCTGTACTAAAACCTGACGAGTTGGATTGGTATACGCTCGAGATCATGTCCCATATGCCCTCAATTTTTACATTCGACACAGGTCTAAAACTTATCCATCCGTCTCCTCTGTTGTGTTTGTACGTATTGTAGTGTACTTGTAACTGGTAATTTGTAATAAATGAACTTGCAACTCGTACTTATTTTAAACTCTTTCGATCACCTTACCTCCAAAATGCGTCCATTTTTATAGTGGCATTACCGGCCTTAGACCACATTTGGGAGGCTCCCCCATTGGTTGATACAGAATTTTTACTTTAACTTTTTAAATCATTATCCGATTTCAATGTGGTTCGAACTGGTGGATTCCCAAGGCAATTCTGTACCTTCGTATACCAGTTCATGTCGGAAAATCAACGGGAAATCCCGAAAAACCGGGAAACCCAGTGACAATATTAATTTTTCTTCTTTTATATTTCTTTTATTTCTTATATTTCTTCTTTTATATTGTTAGTTGGTGGCAATAGATCTAATGTTACGCTACTTATCTTGGTTCATTTTTTTAAATGATTTTTTTTTTTGGTCTTTTCAATGCTCTCCAACAAAATTATGACCCAGTGGAATGGCGTCTTTTTCTGGATGGAGGCAAGAATAGTTTGAAGGCAGTCTTGCTTCATAAAGGGAATACGAAGCCATCAATTCCAATCGGATATGGAAAATACATAAAGGAAACATATGAAGCAATGAAAGAACTTCTCGATCTCATACAATACTTAGAAAAAAAATTACAGCGTTTTTCGTGTTCAGGAGGTCCCAATTAACTTATCTAGGTATGTGGCGTTCTTGGTATTTTTCCAAATTAAAAATTTGTAAAGCTGTGTAATACACGCTATACAAGAACAATAAATGGTTAAGCTAACTGAGCGTCTATACTCTGCAACGTCTGCGGGCGAACTAAACTCCCCGCATGTCACGCATCCAAGGGTAATGACCGCACACGCGTCGCCTGTGGACTCGCTAGACTGAGACGGCACCAAGCACAACGTATCTAACTCTAAAATTTATAGATACTGTTTTTTTTTAAATGGAATAGCTTAAAAGCTTCAAATGAAACGTGACAAAAGATATGAGCCGTTCAAAATGTCTGCAAACACGAACGCTCACTTCGTGGCATGTTGGATTAACTTCTTACATAAGCGTTCTCCACAATCCCTCCATTTTTTTCAGCTTAATGCATCTTGCTCTTCTTGATCTGATTTCTCCTGGTCCGAGGTCGATGGTGGTGATGCTCCATGAGGGTTTGGGGTGGTGATTTCTCTGAAACTATATCTAATGCAGGATTGGTCGAACATTTTGATCGCTAGTAGCTCCCAAATCTTCTTTACGTGAGTTATGTGTCTTTTATAAACTTGACCAACTCCTTCTGAAACTGACTTCATTCCCTATCTTTTGGGCAACTATGTTACGTATCAAAGCGTTATCTCCTTATTTTATGTCTGTGTCCTTTGCATTTCGAATCTTATCTTCCTTGCTTCTTATCTTATTACAGTAGAGCCTCGATGATCCGAACTACCAAAAAACAACCCCTGTTCGGACTGGCGGGGCGTTCGGATTATAGTATGTTAAAAAAAGGCAAGTATATTTTGACAGAATATGTATATTTATTGAGGTGCCTACTACAAGATACATATTTAAACCACAAAATATACGTTACTTATTCATAAAGTCATCAATTTTAGTTTGGCGGGTTCTATTTATTGACCAAGGAAAGGCTTTGTCCCTCAAATTTCGCAGCATCTTCGGATAAAGAAAAGTCATTTACGTCAGCCCAATCCAAACAAGTATTCAGTGCTGATATAGCTTGTGAATGAGGAATTTTCTCGACGTTTAAAACAGAAGTATTGTCAACAAAAAGCTCGTCAGTCTCTTGCCTAAGTTGGGCTATGATCTCATCATCAGTTATGGGTTCTGTGCAATTCTCCGCTTCGCTGATTGTCAAGAAAGTGGAAATGGTTTCTTCTGTATATCCACGGTTGCGTAGAAGACTGAGTGGGAGATTGTCTTCCACGTCAGAGCCATCGTTTTCTTCTGATCCATTTTCTGCTTCATTGAATTGGTCAGGCCATAGAGGCTTCCAAGATTTTTTGATGAGAGACGACGACACGTGATCCCAACATTGCGCTAGTGAAAAAATTGCGTCTTTAATTGTGATGCTTTTAATAACATCATGTAGTGTTAAACTTTCATCATCTTCTTGTTGCGCAAAAACTTGAATAAGCAGTTTCTTCTTGTAATTAATCTTGACATTTTGAATTACGTTTTGATCCATAGGCTGAATTAAGGGTGTGCAGTTTGGTGGCATGTACAGTACGGAAAAATTGCCATCTTCTGTAGTCAGATCTTCAGCATCTGGATGTCCCGGCGCATTATCTAGGAGCAATAATGCTCTTTGTGGTAGACGTAATTTCTTCAAATGACGTTTGACTTCTGGAACGAAATGTTCTCTGAACCACTCCAGGAAAATATCTCTAGTTACCCAAGCACGCATTTGTCCTTGATAATGCACCGGTAATTTTACGGATCCAAAAGATCTTGGCTTTTTGGCCTTCCCTACGACTAGTAACTGTAATTTATGATTCCCTATCGAGTTTGCACAAGGCATAAAAGTGATTCTTTCTTTAGATACCTTGGATCCAGAAGCACTAGTTTCAGCAGAAGAGGCTAAAGTTTTATCTGGCAGAACCTTCCAAAACAATCCTGATTCGTCTGCATTGTAGATTTGTTCAGGACAAAGGTCTTTTTCTCTTATCTCTTTCAAAAACTTTTCTTGGAATGGTTGAACAGCCTCCGCATTACTAGAGACTTTCTCACCTGACACTTTCAGCTGCCGTATGCCATGACGCTTTTTGAAATTATCCAGCCACCCTCTACTTGCACTGAAATCAGACCCTGTTAGTTTTTTATGAAAGAATCTGGCTTTATGCATTACGATTTCGCCTGATAAAGGAACGTGTCTTCGTCTTTGCTCTAAAAACCAAGTGAAAAGTGCTTCTTCGAGCACTGGATTTTCTGGCAATTTTAGCGTTTTTCTTAAACCTGGACCTTTCTCGGTTTGAGCTACAAACGACCGTATTTTCTGTTCTTTTTTCCTTAAATCAGTAATTGTCGATTTTCCAACACCATACTTAAGGGCAAGAGAAGTTTCAGACACTCCATCTTTCAAACTATCTAGTATGGCACACTTTTCAGCTATACTTAAAGTTTTATGTTTGCGTTTCGGTGTAGGAACCATTTTTATAACCTCTAAAACACGTGGCGCGCGAGTTTAGCACAGAGTAACGTGAACACGCGAGGTAACTCATTCGCAACTGAAAACAAAAGATCACCCGCCACGATAAGAGAGAGAGGGGGGCAGTCGGCAGTTCGGATTACAGCGGCGTTCGGATTAGCCTGAGTACGGATTATCGAGGCTCTACTGTATTTGCTTCTTATCTTATTTATTATTTGCACTGCAAATCTGCAGTCACTTTAAAATGGATCTATTCATGATTTCAATTTCTCCATTTGTTTGAAACCAGTACTTTGGAGCCTGTACTAACTCAATCTTGTTTTGAGAACAAAATCTTTAAATCTATGATTACGGCGGAGATGGTTGTTTTAAGTTATTTTGTTTCTTGATATCTCGAGTCGTAATTTATAATAACAAGTTGTCCAGGGTTGGAATGGTCCCATTAAGTATATTGGTATGCATTATCTGGGAATTATGTCTCTTCGTAGGAGGAGGTTTATCTGGTAGAGTGCTCAGTCTATCCATTAAGCCACCACACTTTGGCTCTTAATCTTCTCTTCATCACTGTTTCACCTGGGTGACCTTCCTGGGCTAATTTTAGTACGTCGCTTCGCAACGTCTCTGGGATGACAAGTTTAGTTCCACGGAGCAAAACTGGTCTCTTAGTTGTTAATTCTTCTGTGAATGCGAAGATGTTTTTGTCCAATGAATGTTCCACGAATTTTCATTTATTTTAGAAACGGCTTATCTTATTTGTTGGTCTTGTTGGCTGTCAGTAATTACTTGAGAAATATTCATAGTCTTAGGCGAACTTTTTTCAATGGTTGTGGGTAGGTGATGTTCACTTTCTCTATCAATAGGCGGTTCTTCGTTGATCTTGCAAAGTTTTAACATAGAGTCTGCAATATTTGACATATATAGGGTGTTAGAGATGACTTCTATCTATTAAATTTTTGATAGACATATCACGACTCTTGTCTTTAACCTGAAACTTTATTTCAAATGCACCATGCATAAAGCAACTACAATATTTAATCTTTACAAAACTTTATAATTTACAGGAGAGCACATTTAATACATCCTGCGGCTACAGCCGGCGCTAGCACTTGTACTACTTTTAGCCCTTGAACGAACTCAAGTAATAAGTGTGATTTCTTCACCTCGCTTTTGCTGGTTGTAGGTATATTATTTTTCTTATTCTAAGGATTTTACAGAAGTGAACATAATAATTGGGTGGGCCTCAACCCAAGCTATTTATTCGAGATATTTCAAAGCTAACTTCAGTGGCTGTTTCAGCATCTTGAATTGGTTTTGTAAACATAGATTGCTGGCCTATTAGTTCCCGTTGTAAAGTGGAAATTCTTTGCGTTCGATTTTCGCCAGTTA